CGCCTTTCAGAAGTTTTCCGAAAAGCAAATAATTATGTACTATGTATTAATTATTATTATTGACTCTACTATTTATCTTTAATGGTTCTCGTACTGCCTACTGTATTTTTGAATGAGCATTATGCGAAAAGGATTCAAATCAGATAAGTTAATTATTGCATTGTATTGTAATTGTACAGGGCCTCCGTAGTCCCCACCTTCTAGCCAAAAATATTAAACATCAAAATCAATAAATACGCTTTATGCACACACACATATTCACAGTCACGGACAATAGGCCGTAAAGAAATAAGCGATGGCTTTGCATGTCTTTTGGCTGCCACTGCGCCATCGTTGCACAACAAATCAATTTTTTACGTATAGGAAATTAAAATTTTTCTCATTTCGAAACGTAATAAAATGACGAAAGATGTGCCACAAAGAAAAACTCTTAACACACATAAAACGCAGTTCCAGCACCGAATTGATTTTCGAGGTGCGGGCATAGACAGATGGATGGATGTTGGGTCTGGGTCTGGGCCTGGGCTGGGCCTGGCCCCGACGGACTGTTACTGGGAAGCGAGAATGCTGCGTGCCTGTTGAGTGATGTGCGCATGGATAATGAAGCAATGACGACGGCATGAATGAACGATCCATGGCATTAAGACAGAAGGGGGAACAAAGAAAAGGGGCGGGCGAAGTGGCCACCGGTTGGCCACAAGTGCATTCAGGTGTGTGTGAGTATGCGGCTTGTGCGTTTAATTAAAAGGCAGGGTGACAGCCTCGGCCCCCAACGGTCGATCATTTCCAAGACTGCAGATAATGGCTGATGTGGCAGTCAAAAAGTTACTAAGGCTGCCTACTGCAACGCCTTCCGGCGATGTTTCAGGGCCGCACTTTGAAATATGTAATTATTGTTATTTTCCACAGGTGAAGAACCTATTTTTAGCTGTCTGTTATTAAAATGGCCAAAGGGCAGAGCTCACACGGCGGTAAATGAAAAAAATATTTAAATAAATACTAGATTTAGTTTTGATTTGATCAATTGCCACAATTGTTAGGAAACATATTGTTTTTCGGTGTAGAAGCTTAACCTTCAAATTTTACTTAAATTTGTTGTTTCACGGAATTTTTTGTTTCTGCAACCTTTCCAAGTGTCTCAATATTCACATGACGTTCGAAAGAGGGAATCTAATTCTGAGCACCTTAATTTTCATTATCACAAAAATTTAAAAGTGACTCTAAACCTTTTTAAAACATTTTAAACAATTTCTCTAATAAGTGCGTGACTAACTTCAACAAGTTAAAATTATTTAAGTGAAAGTTAGGACCTAAAATACATTGCTTTCGAATAATTTGATAATGTGTTTGTCAAAACTTTGTTCTTATAAGTACTTAAATAAATGGATTTTCACGGACAACTTCTAAAGTGTCTTCAATAATTTATCATTTTTCGTTATTCAGTTTACTCTACATTTATTTACATATATCTATTACTAGAATCAGGTCCTTCCCTTTTATATATTTTTTAAAATTTTTAGTAGCTATTTAAACTTTATTACTTATAATAACACATTTGAATACTTTTGGCTGTGAATCGTGGCTTTTGTTAATTAATAATAATAATAAATGTTATGTATGAGAGGCACCAGTTCCTAAGGAATGAAATATTTTATATTCATTGATTTAGAGCTATTTGAAAAAAAGCAGTAAATTAATTTTATTTCGTGTAATTTTCTATTTTTGTTCCCTCCTCCTTGACTTTCCCATTAATTGCTTCCTGTCCAATAAATTGTGAGCAAATCATAAAAAGATATAGAAATACAATTGTATATTCTGCTGGCCTTGCGCAACAGCGTCTTTTGATGATGGCCCATTTATCAATATTTTTTCAAAATATTTTGTATCTTTCAGAAACTGAAATCAACAACAAAAAGTTTCATATGCGATACTAAATATTTTCCTTCAGTTTTTGGTGGCTCATCAGAAATAAAAAATTAAAAACAAACATGTACATATGCACTATTAAATAAATTAAGTTTGTTGTAAGTGCTGGTCATAAATATTTATGTCGTGCTGTCATAAAATTCAAATGAAGTTGTCGCGACAGTGGCCAACAGTCTAAACGGTGGCAGAGGAAGATGTTCGGAGTGTGGGGCGCCATCGTTTATAAACAAATTTTCAAAGCAATTATGAATTGTTTGAGGGCTGAGCTAGGCAGGACAGGAAATTATATTGTAAGGCCATTAAAATGACAGGCAGCCAGCAGATCTCTTCGTCCAATATTGAAACATGTGTGTAATGCTGGCCCCTGCCTAGGCAGGCCTCAAAGCTAGCGTTTGATGTCTGTACCTCTCTCTCTCATTTCCAAATGACTTTTATGCAGAAGTCGTTAAAATCAACGAAAATTTCCAATTAATTTTGATAAACGAGGCCCGGCTGCATGTGCTGCGAGTTTTTGTTGCACCAACGGAAATGTTTATTGTTGCTATTGTATTGATTAGAGAGAGGGAGCGGGTCTGTAGCTATGGGAGTGGGAACGGCCAATTGTTGCTTATTGGGCCAAAATCATTAAAAATCTACCGGCAACACACCCAAATCGTCTTCGAAATAAAGCCATTTGGCTTTATTCGACTAGTTTGGTCGTTGGACTTGGGCCGTTTTCTTTTTACGATTTTCAGTTACAAGACGTGTCATGTCCGCGTGCTTTATAGCCAAACGATTAGGTTCGAGTGTCTGGTCTTTGTTGGTTTAGTAACAAAGTTAACGACGCCAAAACACGATGAACAGCTTGAGATTAGTGCATCCAGAAGATGTTTTCTATACATCCAATTATAGGAATCTGGTTTTCATTTTGCCTAATTAAGAACAAAGAATGGTTGTCTTGGCAGTATCATCGAATATATAGTATTTCGATTTTCAAGAAATTAATTTTAAATTGCACGAAGATGATGAGGGATCCTTAGAATTCGATCCCTATATTAAATAAACATTCACTTACGAATGCTTTAACTTGTCGTTCAATTAAAATATTATAAAATGTACGACCAAGTATTCATTAAATAGGTAGGTCGATCGCCGTTTCGTTTTGTACCACTGAAAAATCTGTAAAGCGTGCTTTTTCCGCCTAAATGTGTGTTTTGCGTGAATGACTGTTTCGCCTGGATTTCTGCCAATTAGTCAGGGAAAATTCCTAAAATGCTATGTCTGGCTTAACCCCTTCAAAGCTCCGGCTTCACAGCCAAAGGGCAAACAGCTTCAACAATTCAAAAACTCATTATTTCGGCCAACCTACACATGTATGTACATACGAGTATGTACGCAAAAATCTATGATTTCCCGACGTACTCCCCATGTCCTACTCCCGTCCAACTCTCGTCCTGCCATTGCATGTGAATTGCAATGACACTTGTCATGGCCGGAGCATCACATCACCCATGTCACTCAAATGCCCAAACAGCCCACTACAACTGTTTCCGCACCCCCGCACCCGTTGTCCGCCCACTCAGGCATTAACGCCCAGTTTTTGCCGGACCCGTAATTACATTACAAGCACAGGCGGCCGATACTTGAAACGACGACAGTCTGTTCGTCATTTTTGTCAAACGCATTGCCAATTGTGCGGAGTTTTATGGAACTGGCAAAAACATAAATCAATAACAGGCAGACCGACATCAATCAAATGGATGTGTACACATACATGTTCATATGTCGGGCGGGGGATTGGAGAGGAGGAGGTAGCTGAAATTGCCCGCATAGAAGCGGAGGAAAAATTAAAAATACAAAGAACGATACGAAATTAAGATGAACGCGAGGGTTCGATATGTGGCAACATGTTGACGACCATCATAATCATTATGATGATGCTGATGATGATGATGATGGTGACGACGATCGGCAGGGCACCAACAGCAGTAGGCGAACAAAAGGAGAAGCAGCAAAAGATTCGTAACGAAACCCTTTTGCTTGGTTGTTAGAGGAGGTTCCTGGAGCCCGCTGCGATCGCGTGTTCTTCTTCAATTACTGCGCCATTATACTGACGCGGAACGTTTAAACACTACAGACTGCAGACGGCAGACGGCAGCAACAGTCAGTCGTGCTGAAGGGGGGCCCAGCACCGGTGAGGGAACGGTACGAATGTGTGCCCTGCAGGCTTACGCAGAGACAAAGAGGCCGAAAGCTTTCGGTCTCCTTTGGCAAAGGCAGAGGCAGCCGCTGGATTTTCGCTTGTCGCCGTGTTCACTTGCTGGTTGGTTGGTTGTGTCTGCGGCTGTGCCGTACATAAAAAAGAAAAAGCTGCTAACTTGCAGCGTAATTCAGGATTCTCGCTGCTCTGTTATTATCGTCGGTCTGGACAACAAGTTTTTGGTGACGGAGACAGAGACGAGAGCGGCAAGAGAAATAGCAAGAACAGCAGCATTGGCAACTGGTAGGTATATACATACATATGTATGTATGTATGTAGGTAATTGCAATTGCCCTCATGTTTTGCGCTGCAGCAGAGCGAACGATCGCATACTGAAATCTCGGGCAGCTATGGGTTAAATGCAGAGGTACGCCTGCTAAAAATATAAAAATACGCTGCCACAGCCCGAAAGAGCACGCACCATTTCAAATAATGCTCTTAAAGAAACACATATGTATATGTATGTACATACATATATCAATTTCATATAATAGTGTTATATGTATGTATGTATGTTAGGAAAAGGTAAAAATTATTAGGAATAATATGCATTTTAGCATACTTACCATGATAGCGTAGAGGCGCCTGAGCTTAAGCAAAAATATCAGAAAAAGTGTGTGCGCGTTGTATTGTTGCATGTCAGATGCTATCCAATAACAACATACGCCAAAACAACGTGCGTTAGTCTCATTTTCGAATTTCGAAGTGGGAGAACGCCAGCGTGAGAGCAAGAGCGAGAGCGAGCGCCTGTTTTATTCGAAAAACGGCCACAACCACTTTGTTGTGGCACTCGGCTCGTTCACAATTTCAGTGTGTGGCCGTACGCCATTTCCATTAGTCGTGCAGTGCGCTTGGTAAAAAGTGTCTCAGCGTTTAGAGTAGTGCGTTCTGGAAGATACGAGGCGAGCATACGCGTTTGCGTAGCTTACCAGGCCAGTTACAAACCAAAACACAAACGCGAAAATAAACAAGGCGTCAACAAATTGTATATTTCGTTTGTATTTTAAGTGTGTTCGTGAAAATTTTAACATATAGTACATATATACTTGTATGCACATAAATATCTTAAATATGCGCAAGTAAAAATATTTGGATTTCCCACAAGGAATCCATTGAAAATATCGGGCTGTAAGTCTAAAACCGCCCCCTTTGGACGCAACGTCAGAAGCAATAACAACAACTACACCCCAAAAAAGCCAAACAACCGCCCGTGGTAATCGCGTCGTCGTTAACGTTAACGTCAACGTTGCCGCCAACGTCGCGCGTCGCAATCATTTGGAAATAAATCGTGCTTTGCGCTTTAGCTTTAGGTTTTCAGTTGTTGTAGCTCGTGCTTGGGCCTGTGTTGTTTTTGTTTTCTATTCGCAAAGTCATTCGCGGTGCGTCGACAGTGCAGCAGCGTAAACAACAAGAAGACGAAAACAAAAGTCGGCAAAATGTTTTACAATTAAAATTACGCGCCCGCGCGACCTGAACGTTTACATTTGTATCGCCAAGATACTCGTACTCGTAGTCGTACTCGCAGTCGTACTTGCTCGCACAAATTAAACTAAAATGCAGCAGCATATTCAAGTTGTAAAAAGTTTTACGATCATACCTTAGCTCTCCGCCGCTCCCAATCATACAAAATACAAATTAAGACCCGCTTGTCCGCGCATAAAACACACACAGGGGAGCGGAAGCAACAACAGCACCAACAGGAAAAAGAGCAACCAAGTTACGGTCGCAGATACAATTTCATGAGCTCTGTTTCGGAGTGTATTAGTCCTGCCTCACCTACCTGCACAGACAGCGACAAAGGATACCCAAAGGCCGTAAAACATTTTGGAAGTTACAGCCAAGGAGCAGTGGCAGTGACAGGAGCAGCGGCAACGGCAACGGCAGCGCCCGCCTCACATAAATCGCCCTTGCTGCCCAACTAACCCCACTCAGGAAAAGGAGGCAACAAACAGAAGTAACTGCAACTGGGAAGAGCAGTAACAACGAATAATAACAGGAGCAACAACAACACCAAGAGTTGCTTAAACATGGCGGGCAACATTGTCAAATGGTGGAAGCACAAGATACTCGGCGGCTATAAACAATTCTCAGGTAAGCAGAAGCGGCTTCTAGCCAATATTGTCCATATTAAGCCAGAGCACTGAGGATTGTACTACTCGTACTATAGTGTGCCTTGAAGCATCTTGTGCCAAAACAATAATGAATGGCCCTAGGCATTATTTTTTCTTATGAATAGCGTGTGGGCCTTCGACGTAGTATACAATGATCCAATGATCAGGGTACTATAGTACAAGTATAGTAGACGACCTCTGCTTAAACATTAAACATTGCTGAAGCATAAAGTAGCGTCTTACGAGTGTGCACTCGTATTCCGCATATTCTCATCGATAGTTTTATTTGAACGATTTGTACGGCAACAACAACGTTGTTGCTTGTGGAAAAGGAAAAACAAAAATAGAACATGCGCTGTAAGGAAAATCGGGCATAGTACAGAAGAACTACAGCGAGAGCAACAAACATCAAAAAGAAAACGACGCATGGAAAATAAATAGAAAATGGAAAAGCCGAAGAGCCAGCGCAAGTGTGCTAGGGAAAGGGACGGGGACAGGGAGGGAGACAGTGCCAGAGACGGAGACAGAGACGTAGAGCGAGGGCAAGGCGGCGGTATACGTGATCAATAGAACTGAACATCGGTGGCGATTTGCTTTTTCGGCATGGCGGCTGCTACACATTCATAGTAGACCTATCCATATGAGTGTGTGTGTGAGTGTGCATGAAAGTATGTACATATATGTATGTATGTAGTTCGAGTATGTGTGTTTGTGTGCCGCTACATTAGGCGAGGGTAAAAAGTATCATAAACGTAAATAAACAAGACCGCAGAGCATAAAAAGGCCAAGTAGCGACCAAAGTGGATTGGTCTGTGATGATGATGACTATGCTGTTGATGATAATGACGAAGACGATGAAGTCGACGATCGAGGCGATCTTTTTGAAAACAAACGACGACACAGGAACATCAATCAATCAATGTTTTGTTTTCGTCGTCATTTCCATTCCCATTCCTATCCTCAGTCGACCGTCCACCGTCCACCGTCGACATTTCAATGGAAACGTTTTCGGTCAACCAGCTGCTGCCGGTGTTGTTGCTGCCCGACCCGCAATTGCTGCGTCAATTAAATGCCATCCTAACACTTTTGAACCTCCAGCTCAGCTCAGCTCAGTTCAGTTCAGTTCGGTTCTGTTCAATTCAGCTCGACTCGACTCGACTTGGCTAAGAGACCACTGCAGGTCCAGACATACCACAAGCCCTACACTAATTGCTTGCAGATGCAACACACATCTCAGTACCACAAGTTTAAAGGAAACACAAGGAACGGCGGCCGGTGCGACTGAAGTATGCAACTTCAAAGAAAGCAGCAAGCCAGTCCAAGAGCCAGGCGAGTGGCACGAACAGAACACAAAATACGAAAAGAAGAGAAAAACACAGAAACACAAAAACAAAAAAACACCAACAACAACAACAACAAGAAAAACAAAAACAACAGAAAATTACGTTCTGTTGAAATGCCGAGCGACTAAAACAACGTACGAAAAAATTTTACCTGTTGCAGGTAGAAAGGCAGCTGCAAACCATCCAGCCATCCAGTCATCCAGCCTGCTAGCCAGCAAGCCAGCCATGGCACAAAAACCTTTTAAAACCCTCACGTTGGTTGATAAATAACAGCAACAGCAACAGCAACAACAACGTTCGGTCGCTTGCTTGATCGTCGAGCCGCAAGCAAAAATAATAATAACTGAGCGGCATGAATACAACAACAATAACAACAACAACAACAAAAACAACAACAACAACAACAAAAACAATAACAACAGCAACAACGACGGCGTTGCAAGCTCCAACCAGTTCGGATCCAACTATGCCAAGCATCTCGGCGCAGCGCACGACTATTGGGCGGCAGCCACAGATACAACAACAGCAGCATCAACGGCGACGGCGGCATCGTTTTCAAGCCGCCATCCACAAAAGCGGTTTACAGTCAGCCGACCAAACGACAGAGCGACAAGTCGACGGACTCGGCTTTGTATCTTTGAGATACACAACGCAGCGTGCAAGCCGCTGAGTGCCTGTCTCTGTCTCTGCCCCTGCCTCGTCCCCTGCTCTTGCCACCGCGTCCGCCTCCGCCTCTGCCATCACCAATGCCGATGCACGGGCCTGGCCGAGCTGGGTTTGCGCTCTTTTCAAAAGATGCGCTTTCCGCTTTCAGTTTTGTGTCGGGCCGAGTCGGTTCGTCGGCTGATCATTGGACGGTACTGTGGTTCAAATATGTAATACACGCTAGAAATTTCGTAGGAAATCCTATTTTGCAAAACCAATTGTTGAATATTTACCTTTTTAACATAACATCTTTGCTCATTATATATACATAGTAGTTTATAATTACAGATTGTTTCTTTCTAAAATTGCTTTCGTGTCTATCTATATACACTGTTATCGAAGAGTACAAAAGAAGCATCTCCGACTCCGATCCTGTCACAGCAACAATTTGCCGCGAAACCTAGGTTTTATCTTAATAGATATTTCTGTGATGAAATTCCAGAAATAATATTCCTTCAAAACTCTTGAAAGCTTAGTGTAAATCAGTTACGGTCGGAAAGTAAATCAGCTCCGCTCTAAACACGAAAATTTCCAGCTTTCCAGCCATAGCAGCGCTTAGCCGGGTCAGCTAGTGAAGCATGACGAGAGAAATCGATCCAGACATGTCAGTCCGTCTGTCTGGATGAACGTCTGGATTTCAAAAACGACTGAGCCCACATTGACCAAACTTGGTATGTAGGCTCTTCTACTCCCTAGGCAACATGAGTTTTTTTATCCCTTCCCCTGCAATACATAAATCATTATATTTCTAATTTTAAAATTTTGTTTCAAATTTTATTAATCGGTAATTTCTGGAAGAGTTATGAAGGAACACATTTTAGAGGATCCATTTCGCTCTTCTTCTACCTTTTCTTCTTCAGTGGAAGCTTGTTTATTTAAAGGGTATTTCACTGTCGGGCTTGCACAACTGTAGCCTTCTATCTTGCTGCTGGTAATGAAAGTTACCTTTAATGGTTGGGGAAGGTCCGTTATGTAGAAATTGAACAGTAAGGTAAGCCTATTGCCTCTATCTTAATGCATTAGCCAAGGCAGAAGAAGTTAGTGAATAGGCTATGTTCTGTACTCTTTAAGCACCTTTTATGGTCATTAATTTGAATTATATTATCCTATTATTTACAATTAGTTAATAAACATTAATGGTTTTTAAAATGAAATTTTAAATTCATTGATAACATAAAAACAACCTGTTTCGCATTTTCTTTTATAAAGAAAGGAACCAATGCATTCTTTTAAATTTTGGCTTATAAAAGGTCCAGGAAATAGGTTTGGTGTCACTGTGCCTTGCGCGGGTTTTACAATTTTGCCTGGACTGTGTGCTGTTGATGCTGGCGGCATCGGCTTCGGCACAAACACACATAACATATTGCACAATGCACTTTCGGATGGCTGATCCTACTTCAGAGCCAACCCTATAAGCAATTTTCGTAATATTAGCCAGGAAGTTGACTTTGCCGAACTCACACAGCATTCTCATTCGTGGCCACGGCTCCTCGCCGCTGTTGTCTTTCCAGTTGCCGTTGTCGCTGGTCTGACGTTCCAACGACCGTATAAGGCCAGCGAGCGATCGAGCAATCTGCTGGTTCTGGTTGTAGAGCCTTTTGGCCTGCTCCGCGCCGCGCCCCTCCGCTCCGCTCTGTTCTTGCAGGCCGGGGCGCAAAAACAATACCGCCTGTGCCAAAGATAAAAAGCTGTTAGCTCGTAGCTTCTGCATTTTGCGTTTGGAGTTGTGCGGCCCCAGATAGGGGCAGGCGGCACTGCGAGGGTTTGGCAGAGATATGTAATGACTTTTGAGGTTTTTGTTTTGGTTTCCACCATGTCTCTGTGTATGTCAGTCGATGTGTGTGTGTTGATTTAGCAATTGGTTGGCGTGGCTTGACGCTTCTTGGAAAAGTGCCGCCACATACAGACACACACACACACACAGATTGATGTATGTGTGTATGTAAATGTAAGTTTAAACACGGCACTCGAAATTCTATGGAAGTGCCCAGCCTCGAACCTCGCGCGTATCTCTTAGTTACCTTTCATAAATATGATGGAAAAATCATGTCAGATGCCGCCTATTCAGGCGACTGTTCAATACTGCTGCCGTAGCTCTTTGTATTTATCGCTGTTGTTGTTGTTGTCGCTGTCTGCAAAATGTATAGCATTTAAAATGTAGTTTACGCTTGGTCGCTCGCTTTGACGGTTGTCTGATTGATAAGCGAGTAGCAGCGCAGCCCAGCCCAGCGCAGCGCAGCGCAGCTCAAAGCCAGAACAGTGTCTTATCTTAATAATATTTAATGCATGACCGGGCAGTGGAAAAGTGGCAGAGTGAAAATGAAATTGAAAATAATACAAAACGCTTTGTCGGTCATTAGCTTTGAGTGGACGCCGACGTGTCGTCGCCGTTGCCGTCGCCGTTGCCGTTGCTGTGCTGTCGAGGATCAGCTTGGTTGAGTTTTGTTGATTGTGTCAAAGCGAAGCCCGCCGCCGACAAACGACCGACGAGCGGACAAACGGACGGACGGACGGAACGACGATGAAAGTGCATGGGAAACTGTTTGTGAGCATTCGAAAGCAGCTACCCCGACTCTTTTCCAGCACACACAAATTTGTTTAAATGGGTGTGCCATGGGTGGCGGTGGGGGGCGAGGGTTGACATTTTAAAATGCGCACGGCCTTAAATGCAAAAAAAAACACCGTATAACAGAATAAAAAGCTGGCGGCGCTTTTTCATTTCAATAAAATGTGTGAGAGTTCCAAAAAGCCAAGCGACAGACACAACAAAAAGCGACAACGAAAGCAAAGTGCTGGGTGCCTGTTTGTCACGCCTTTCTCTATTTATCTCTCTTTCTCTCTCTCTTTCCCCCTGCATGTATGTATGTACATGTGTGTGTGTGTGTGTGTGTGTGAGCACACAGACACTTTCCGCTTTTGAAGTGGCTTTTAA